CAGCAGCAGCAGCAGCAGCAGCAGCAACAGCAGCAGCAGCAGCAGCAGCAGTAACCTTTTTGCCACTAACGGTGGGCTATTTAATTCCTTCTTTTCCCTCTAAGGAAATCTGTTTGTTTTACAGCAGGCACTTATTCAGCTGCGGATACACCCCAGCTGCTGCTGCTGCTGCTGCTGCTGCTGCTGAGGTTACCCTCCTTGCTGCTGCTGCTGCTGCTGCAGTAAGCTGTCAGGTACTTCGACGTCGTTTGTCCACTAATACTTGAGGCTGTCGCCTCGATTTGCTGCTGCTGCTGCTGCTGCTGCTCTGTGTGTATATCCTTAGCCAGCAGCAGCAGCAGCAGCAGCAATAGCAGCAGCAACAGCAGCAGCAACAGAAGTTTGTTGCTGCAGCAGCTTGTGGGCCCCCTCTACGACCTCCTGTTTGTTTTATTAGCGCCTGGCAGCAGCAGCAGCAGCACGAATTTCTGCTGCTGTGTCTCCACAGTTTGTCGATAGCAACAGCAGCAGCAGCAGCACCTGTATTGCAGCAGCAGCAGCTGCTGCTGCTGCTGCATGCGCTGCACTAGCAGCAGCTAAAGGGCTACAATTTCAATATCTTGTGTAGCTCCTCCTGCAGCCTTGTGGCTGTACGTTTGTCTTTCGCCTTATACCTGCAGCAGCAGCAGCTGCTGCTGCTGCAACAGCTGCAGCAGCAACAGCAGCGACAGCAGCAGCAGCAGCAAAAGAGGAAGGATATTAGAGTGCAGCAGCAGCACGTATCCGCCTTGTAAGCTCAGGGAATGTGCAGCCTGAGCAATTCATCTGGCGGCTTGCTGCTGCTGCTGCTGCTGCTTGGTTGGCATCATTTTGCTGCTCTTGCTGCTGCTGCTGCTGCTGCTGCAGCTGCTGCTGCTGCAGCAAGATGACGCGCAGTGTCCATCGCCCGCTGCAGTGCAGCCAAAGATCTATTGGTGTTAATTTTGCTTCCTTAGGCTGCAGCACGCAGCTACGGGGTATACCTGTATGCTCTGCTGCTGCTGCTGCTGCTGCAGCTGCAGCAGCAGCAGCAGCTACCGGTGCAGCAGCAGCAGCACCCGGTGTATCCGCAGCAACACCGGCACCAACAGCAGCAGATACAACAGCAGCAACAGCAGCAACAGAAGATTCAACAACAACAACAGCAACAACAACAACAACAACTGCAGCAGCAGCAGCAAGACGTTTCTCTTTGCTGCGCGATGTGCTGCTGCATGCAGTATATGGTCTGCTGCGTCTGCTGTCGCTGCCGCTGCTGCTGCTAGGCTTGCTGCTGTCATTAAGATGTTTGCTGCAGCAAGCAGCAGCAGCAGCATGTCTTTCTCTTGGCTTTAAGTTATGCCCAAGGAGAGCAGACTACCGCATGCAATCCGATCTGCTGCTGCGTGCTGCTGTTGCTGCTGCTGATAATGCTGCTGCTGCTGCTGCTGCAGCAGCAGCAGGTGCTAGTCATGCAGCAGCAGCAGCAGCATCCAAGACAACTACACT